ACACACACACACACACACACACAGACACACACAGAGACAGACAGACAGACACACACACACACACACACAGACATACACACACATAGAGAAACAGAGAGTGCTGTGTGAAAAATCCACGTCCGTTATTCCGCATTCATTTCACACTGCGCCCCAAACTTAGACCCGAGGCAGGGACAGCATGGGGTTAGATACAGAGTAAAGCTCCCTCTACACTGTCCCCCCCCCATCAAACACTCCCAGGGACAGGGACAGCATGGGGTTAGATACAGAGTAAAGCTCCCTCTACACTGTCCCCCCCATCAAACACTCCCAGGGACAGGGACAGCATGGGGTTAGATACAGAGTAAAGCTCCCTCTACACTGTCCCCCCATCAAACACTCCCAGGGACAGGGACAGCATGGGGTTAGATACAGAGTAAAGCTCCCTTTGCACTGTCCCCCCCATCAAACACTTCCAGGGACAGGGACAGCATGGGGTTAGATACAGAGTAAAGCTCCCTCTACACTGTCCTCCCCATCAAACACTCTCAGGGACAGGGACAGCATGGAGTTAGATACAGAGTAAAGCTCCCTCTACACTGTCCCCCATCAAACACTCCCAGGGACAGCACGGGGTTAGATACAGAGTAAAGCTCCCTTTATACTGTCCCCCATCAAACAGTCCCAGGGACAGCACGGCGTTAGGTACAGTGTAAACCTCCCTCTACACTGTCCCCATCAATCACTCCCAGGATAGGGACAGCACAGGGTTAGATACAGAGTAAAGCTTCCTCTACACTGTCCCGCATCAAACACTCCCAGGACAGGGACAGCATGGGGTGGGGGGTGGTTAGACAGGACGGAAAGCTCCCTCGACATCACCGAGCCTCTATGGTAACCCTATGTTCTGTTGTCTGCCTTTCTCCATCTGATGCCCAGGCACCGCACGGAGCAGGGTGGGCTCGCTCCTGACCCCCAACCCCAGCGCAGTCACCTTTTTGAGACGGAGGCCGTGAGAGATATTGTCCGCTGTCAGGAAGCCATCGACCAGGTGGGTGTGTGAGCCTGCCTCCCCGCAGTGCGGCCGGTATAGGAAGGTGTTCATTCCTCGCTCCCTGGGGAAAAGGAACGCCGGCCTTGTCAGGGCCCTCGGACAACACGCATGCTGCTTGTCCCGTTCCCCGTCAACACCCCCCACCCCACCCCCCACAACCAAACTCTCTCTCTCTGCGTCCTCATGCATCAGCTTCTGGGGAGTGGCACACTCCCTCCCACACCCCGAGCAGAGCCGCCCAAAGTTACACAGGGAGCTGGGAGCGACATAATGCCCCGAAACACATCTTTCTGTGCCTGAAATGACGCGGTTTCAGGGTAATGCAGCGCTGCCAGTGAGTCTCCCCGAAATGTTGAGCCTTGTAACATATACCAGAAAGACTGTTGAGACAGATGTCTTGGAGTTTATTGACAGCTCTATCCAATTACGGGGCTGTAAAAAAATCTCAGACTTGTCCTTACTCTGGGCTTTGACTTCACAGAGCAAGGGGAGAGTGACTGCAAGCAGGCGGTCGGTATTTTGCTGCATTAAGGTGAGGCAGGTACCTTCCTACCTCATGTTTACATGATGCAACGCCATTTAACTGAAAGAGTCAGTCCTGTTTGGTCTGGGACCAGTGCAATAATGCAACAGGAAACACCATGCACTTCTGTACTCATGCTCACGTACACACACATACAGCCAGTGCCAGCTAAGTCAGCACTAGGCCCGGATTCAAGCCTGGGCTTTTCCTGCTGTGAGAGTGTGTGTGTGTTTGTGGCATGTGTGTGAGTGTGTGTGTGTGCCTGTATGTGTGTGTGTGAGTGTGTGTGTTAGTGTGTGAGTGTGTGTGTTTGTGAGTGAGTCTGTGTATGTGTGTGTGTGAGTGAGTCTGTGTGTGTTAGTGTGTGTGTGTGAGTGAGTGTGTGTGAGTGTATGTGTGTGTGTTAGTGTGTGTGTGTGTGAGTGAGAGTGAGTGAGTGAGTGTGTGTGCGTGTGAGTGAGTGTGTGTGTGTGTCTGTGAGTGTGTGCGTGTCTGTGAGTCTGTGTGTGCGTGTGTGTGTGTGTGTGCAGGGAGCCTCAGTACCACACTGGGTGTGATCAGACAAAATTGGCTCTAGGCCAAGATTGGAGCCTGGGCCTTTCCTGCTCTGTGTGTGGGGAGTGGTGGACTAGCTTGGTGTACTGTGGGTGTGATTAACTCAGCTCTAGACAAGGATTGGAGCCTGGGCCTTTCCTAGCTGCTCCATATGTGGGGCTCAGTGCACTCAGTGTGATCAGGCTCGCTCAGCACTAGGCCGGGATTGGAGCCTGGGCCTTTCCTAGCTGCTCCATATGTGGGGCTCAGTGCACTCAGTGTGATCAGGCTCGCTCAGCACTAGGCCGGGATTGGAGCCTGGGCTTTTCCTGCTCTGCAGGGGGTTTGGAGTCCTGCACCAGAGTGGAGTACCTCGGAGGTAGGAATTCCCATTACCTGCGCAGGTGATTCAGAACGGTGATGTTACTGTACATATAGTACTGATAGTAACTGTAGGGCGGGTTCTTCTTGGAGGTCCAGTCGGCCGGGAGGGGCAGTTCAGGGAAGAATCCCTCGTCTGTCTTCGACTCATCATCGACACTGTCAAATGCTGTCACCTGGCACAGCGAAGGATACCAGTCAGTTACCATGGGAAACAATCCGTTAACCTGGCTCCTTCCAAACCCACGGCCACTTCCATCCAGAAGGACAAGGGGCAGCAGATAAATGGGACCCCCCACCCCCTGCAAGTTCCCCTCCGAGCTGCTCCCCATCCTGACTTGGGAAATATATCGGCCGTTCCTTCCTGGGTCAGAATCCCTGGAATTCCCTCCCTAAGGGGACATTGTGGGTCAACGCACAGCACATGGGCTGCAGCGGTTCAAGAAGGCAGCTCACCACCACCTTCTCAAGGAGGGGCAACTAGGGATTTGGGGGGGGCAATCAATTTAAATTTTAGCAAAGACCTGTAGCTCGGGTTTTGTTGTGAGGTTGTGGACTTGCTGGCCGAGCTGGCTTGTTCTTGTTTAGACGTTTCGTCACCCATGCTAGGTAACATCGTCAGTGGAGCCTCCGATGAAGTGACGTTATTCTACTCCACTTGGGATTTATACTGTCTGGTGCGTTGTGGTGAGTCGTGTCATTTCCGGTTTTGATCTGGATGGGTTTGCATATGGGGTCCAATTCTCAATGTTTGTCAATTGCATTACAGTTGGACAACCATGCCTCTAGGAATTCCCGTGCGTGTCTATGTTTGGCTTGGGCTACTATGGTTATCTTGTCCCAGTTAAATTGATGGCCTTCATTGTCTGAACTTACCAATATTAAGGAGAGTTTGTTGTGTTGTTTTGCTGCTAGCTGGTGTTCGTGTATTCTGATGGCTAGTTGTCTGTCCAATGTAATGTTTGCAGCAGCCGTTGCATGGTATTTTGTAAACCACGTTGGCTCTGCATGTTGCGGGAATGGGGTCTTTAATCCTCCTAAGTGTTTGTTGTAGAGTAGCTGGGGGCTTGTGGGCCCCATGATTCCTAGCAGTCGTAGGGGTCTTGTTGTCGGTTCTGATATGTTGTTGATGTAGGGCGATGTGGCCAGTGTGTTAGGACGTACTGTGTCCTCCCTGTTGTTGTCTGTTTAGTAGGCATCTGGGAATGAAGTTGTGGGGATATCCGTTTATAGCGAGGATTTTGTATCGGTACTCTTCCTCTTTCCTGCGTAGTTCCAGGGTGTTGCGGTGTGGCCTGGTCTGTTTAAATAGTGTCCGAATGCAGCTTTGTTTGTGGGTGTTGGGGTAGTTGCTATGGAGGTTGAGGATTTGATCCGTATGGGTTAATTTCCTGTATACTGAGGTTTGGAATTCCCTGTTGGTCAGATGTTCAACTTTAACATCCAGAAACAGAAGCTGATTGTTGTTTTCTTCTTCTTTCGTGAAATTAATCCCCGCAAGTATGTTGTTGATGAGGTGGTGGGTCTCCTCTGGTTTGTAGCGTTTAATAACGACAAATGTGTCATCTACGTACTGGATCCACAGTTTAGGTTGAGTGTGGGGGAGGGTGGTGTGTTCTAGTCTTTGCATGACTGCTTCTGCGATGAGCCCTGAGCTGGGTGACCCTATTGGTGTACCGTTGATCTGTTTGTATATTTGACCATTAAAGACGAAGTGTGTGGTGAGGCACAGGTCTAGTTGTTTGAGTATGTTGTCATTGCTGCTGGTCTGTGTTGCTGCTTCCTCTAGTAATGTGACCACTGTTTCTTTGGCTAGTGGGATGTCGATTGATGTGAATAAAGCTGTGATGTCAAAGGATACCATAATCTCGTCGTCGCTGATTTTTATGTTCTTGAGGGTATTGAGGAGTTCTTGGGTTGAGTGGATAGAATGGGGTGATCTGTCTACTGGGTGTTTCAGTCTCTGTTGTAGGTCCTTGGCCAGTTTGTGTGAAGGTGTGCCCTGGAGGAAGACAATGAGTGTGAGGGGGTGTTTGGTTTGTGCACTTTAAACAGCTCATAGAAGCGGGAGGTGTTTGTGCCTTCTGGTTTCATTCTCATGTAGTCCATCTTGGTTATCTGTCCTGCATCCTTTAGTCTCTTCAATGTCTGGGGGATCCTATTGCCTAGCTATTGTGTTGGGTCTTTCGCCACCTGTAGGTAGGTGGTTGTATCTGCGAGCAGTGCCTGTGCTTTCTTAACGTAGTCTGGTTCGATCATAATGATGGTCATGCGCCCTTTGTCCTCTGGTAGGACTATAATGTAGTTTATAAAATACCGTGAAAAGACTGTCACAAACAATACATCGGACAGACAGGAAGGAAACTAGCCATCAGAACACACGAACACCAGCTAGCAGCAAAACAACACAACAAACTCTCCCTAATATCAGTACACTCGGACAATGAAGGCCATCAATTTAACTGGGACAAGATAACCATTGTAGCCCAAGCCAAATATAGACACGCACAGGAATTCCTAGAGGCATGGTTCTCCAACTGTAATGCAATCGACAAACATATAGAGTTGGACCCCATATACAACCGGAAATGACACGACTCACCATAACAGACCGGACAGTATAAATCCCAAGTGGAGTAGAATAACATCGCTTCATCGGAGGCCCCACTGATGATGTTACCTAGCATGGTGACGAAACGTCTGAACGAGAACAAGCCAGCTCGGCGAGCAAGTCAACAACCTCATTGGCAATAAATGCTGGGCCAGTACAGCACAGCCCACATCCCATGAATGAATTGAAAAACTGTAAGCCCTGAGAGAACATAAAACAAAGGGACTGGCCTAGACCATTCAGCCCATCGAGTCTACTCATCCAATGAGATCGCAGCTGCTCTGGTAATCCTCAACCCGACTTTCCCCACGTGACCCTACGTTCCCCCGATGATTAAACATCTCTCTCAGCCTTGAACGTTCTTAATTTCCCAGCCCCTTTGAGGTAAAGAATCCCGCCTCCTTTCGAGGCCTGCCAACGTAGACAACGACTACTGGATCCCATCCCTTCCGTTCCTTTCTCAAGTTCCTTTCCGGCTCTGAGAAGATTCTTTAGCCTTGGTTCCTTCCACAGCCTTCAGGACTCCTGCCCAATGGCTACCATCAGACAGTAAGAGCGTCTCTCATTACACTGTCCCCTATCGCAACAACATTCCTTCTTCCTGTCCCCCCCAGTATGAATGGCTTCGTGTAGCAACGTACTGCGCTCAGTTCGTCCATCCTCCCTGCAATCCCCCTCTCTCAGTCTGCAAGAACCTCATCGTTGTCAGACAATTGCAGGGGCCAGGGGCTCCTCAGTTTTAACCCCCCCTGGGAGCTTCTTTCCTGTCTCACCAGCAGTCCCTGATCACAAACTGGTTTTGATTGCTAACCTTGTCCTCTTGAGCGAAATGTCCAGATCACTTAACCCCCCTCCACCACCACTTCCTGGTGTGGCACAACGTCCATAGCTCAGACCCCAGCTCCTCTACTCAGATGCAAAGTCCCTCAAACTAGAGACAAGTAAACTCTGAATTTCCTAACCAGCCGCACGTATTGCAAAGCTTTGATTTAGTCCCTTCGGTGTTGGGGGTGGTCAGAGCATTTGTATCTGGCCACACGCCTCAGGAAGGCTACATTTGGCTGTTGGTACGGTGCAAGTTCACCAGAATAATACCAGAGGCTAACAGCCTCATTTAATTCTGCTTTATTCCTCTGGCATTCAGAAGTTTAAGGAGTGAAGTGAAAGCAAGGCACTGCAATCTGAGACAAACACAGAGAATGCAGGAGAAACTCAGCAGGTCTGGCAACACCTGTGGAGAGGGATAAACAGAGTTGAAGTTTGAGTCCTGCATGACTCTTCCTCGACTCTGGAGTCACGCCGGACTTGAAAGATTAATTCTGTCCCTCTTTTGCCATAGACGCAGCCAGACCTGCTGAGTTTCTCCAGCCTTCCCTGTGTTTCTATCCATCTGAGGTGTTTAACAATGATCAAAGGGTTTGGTGGGGGGTGGGGTTGGTTGTATTTACAGCTGTATAAGACTTTAGTTAGCCCACACTCGGAGTATCGTGTGGTCGCCGCGCTATAGGAAGGATGGAGAGGCTTTGGAGAGGGTGCAGAAGAGGTTTACCAGGATGTTGACTGGACTGAAGGCTGTTAGATTTAAGGAGAGGCTGGATTGTTTTCACTATAGTGTCGGGGGCTGAGGGGCGCCCTTATAGAAATGTATAAAATTATGAGAGGCTTCGATAGGGTGGATAATTGGTCTTTTACCCAGGGTGGAGATGTCACACACTAGGGGGTGTGTAGGAACAAAAAATTCCTGGAAAAGCTCAGTGGATCTGGATGTGGATGCTGGTGGGATGGCAAGTGAGGATAAGGGGAACCCTATCGCTGTTGTGGGAGGGAAGAGAAGGGGTGAGGGTGGAAGTGCGGGAGATGGGTCGGACCTCGTTGAAGGCCCTGTCGACAACGGAGCTGGGGAATCCCCAGTTGAGGAAGAAGGTGGGCATTTCGGAGGGTCCCTTGTCGAAGTTGGCCTCGTCGGAACATATGCGATGGAGACAGAGGAACTGAGGGAATGGGATGGAGTCTTTACAGGAAGCAGGGTGTGAGCAGGTAGCTGTGGGAGTCAGTGGGTTTGTAATGGATATTAGTGGCCAGTCTATTCCCAGAAATGGAAACAGAAATGTCGAGGAAGGGAAGGGAGGAGTCAGAGATAGACCAGGTGAAAGTGAGGGCAGGGTGGACATTGGAAGTGAAATGGATAAACTTCTCCAATTCCAGACGAGAGAGGGAAGTGGCATCGACAACATCGTTGATGTATCGGAGAAAGTGTTGTGGGTGGGGGCCGGAATAGGACTGGAACAAGGAATGTTCCACGTACCCCATGAAGAGACGGGCATAACAGGGGCCCTTGGAAAGGTGGGGGTGAGCTGCCTCCTTGAACCGCTGCAGTCCATGTGCTGTGGGTTGACCCACAATGTCCCCTTAGGGAGGGAATTCCAGGGATTCTGACCCAGCGACGCTGAAGGAACGGCCGACATATTTCCAAGTCGGGATGGGAAGTGGCTCGGAGGGGAACGTGC